GGGTCGCAAGAATGGGAATCTTGCATGATACCACTACACCAGCGGCGCGGGTGACAACTGTTTCCTCTGAAATCCTTTAGGAGGAAATATGGGCAGAAGCTCGCTCCGTGCAGAGATGAACGCTGATGTATATTAATATATATTATTCTTTCATTCATTTAAAAATAAACGCTTATTCAGAGCCTATAATGTGTTATTTTCCATAAGAAACAATTTATCTTTTCTCATCCCAATACAGTTGAATACCTTCTCTGTACAGAAAATCTCAAAATGTTTTACTTAAAAAGGTAAGGGTCTTCATTAAGGAAAATTTGCTTTGATAATATTAACGACATATTTGAGAGCAAGGAAAATATTTACAGATCTTTGCTGGCTTTTTATTGATATTTGCATTTCTTTGGAATATGCAATGTACAAAGTATTTAAGAAATAGTTATTTAACTCAAATTGATCACAAGAATATCAAAGGCAAACAAGTCAGAAAATGTATCAATTTCAGTCCTCTTTCAGAGAGCAGAAAAACTAGTGTTCTGAAATTTTGTTCAGCGTACTCATAATGCATTTCTTATTGTATTTTATGTTAATGCGAATTATTATTTTTTAAACACAGGAGAATTTACACATCCAAAAACATAGTATCCCTTTCAAAGTAGTTCTTTTATATTTTGATCTATTTTTGAATGTCTATTTTTCAAATTGTCTTTAGAATCCGTGGCACATTCTTCTGATTATATTCAAAGATATCAAACTTTAGTCTTTTGAGGGGGAGTACAGTAAACCGTGGAGCCGTGGTGGCCCCGTGGTTGTGTGCTTGGCTGCTAGCTGAAAAGGGCAGTAGTTCACATCCACCAGAAGGTAAATGTTAAAAGCATTTTTTAAAAACGTGTTTATTGAGATATAATTCACATACCATACAATTCGCTGATTTAAAGTATACAAAAAATATATATATATAAAGAGACGCTCAACCCCAGTAGTGTTAGAGAGATGCAAATTAAAATGAGGAGATACCATTTTTCGTCTACGGTATTGGCTGGTTTTTAGTATATTCACGGAGTTGTACAACTATGACCACAATCAATTTTACGACATTTTCATCACCCAAAAAGAAAACTCTGACCAATTAGCCATCACTCCTCATTCTCCATTCCACTCTACCCCCAGACCACTAATCTTTCTGTATCTATATAGTTGCCTACCCTGGACATTTCATATAAATGGAATCATACAACATGTGATCTTTTGTGACGGACTTCTTTCACCTAGCATAACGCTTTCAAAGTTCATCAAGTTGTAGCAAGTATCCGTACTTCATTCTTTTTTATCGTTGAATAAAATTCTATTGCATGAATATAGCACAAGTATTTCTTTAAGCTTTAAAAATTTTTTATTAAATGCTTTAAGTTACAAAAGTAATGCTGTATATGCTTATACTGTCAAGTCAAACAACATAAATATGTAAGGAAATGATCAATAATTCCCTCCTTCTCCCCCTCTTGAGGTATATTAATTAATATTAACAGGTTAGTCTGCAAGCCTCCATATCTTACTTTATGTATAAACATGTAAGTACGGGATTTTTATTTTAAAGAATGTGATCTTGCCATGGATATTACTTTGCAACTTGCTTTGCTCACCTAAGCTTACATTATAGCTATTCTGCAGTTCCAAGTGATACAAATCTAATTCATTGTTTTTTAATTGTTGCAGAATAGTCCATAGAATGAGTGTACCATAATTTATTCAGTGGTAAATGGTAATTAACCACCAATGGTATTGATGGACCCTCAGGTTACTCCAGGTTTTTTTCTGCCAGTACAAACAGGCATCCTTGTACATCTAACCTTATGAACTGGTTCTTTTATTTCTGTAGGATAGTTTCTCAAACGTGGGATTGCTGAATTAAATGATAATCTTTATAGAAAATGTTTTCTAAAGAGGTTGTAGTAGTCATTCACACTTCCGCCAACAATGTTTGAAAGTCAGTCCCCAAGACCCACCCTCCACCCAGTCTCTCCTGCATTAAGATGTTATCAGTCTTTTTAATTTTTACCAATACCATAGACGAAAAACAGTATCTCCTTGTTTTAATTTGCATTTCTCCAATACTACTGGAGCTGAGCATCTCTTTGTACGTATGCTTTTTGTGTCCATTAGCACTGTCTTCTGTGAATTTCCTATTCGTATACTTAGTCCATATTTATATTGAGTTGTTTACCTTAGCAATTTGTAGAACTCTTTATATATGTTTGTGATATTAACCACAATCTTGTCTGTCATGAGTGGCAAATATTTTTCTTGTGCATTATTTGTTTTTCAACTTTTATAATTCTGTCTTTTGCCATGTGTCTTAGTCACCTAGTGCTGTTATAACAGAAATACCACAAGTGGATGGCTTTAACAAAGAGTTTATAGTCTCACAGTCCAGTAGGCTAGAAGTCTGAATTCAGGGTGCTGGCTCCAGGGAAGGCCCTCTCTCTCTGTCAGCTCTGGAGGAAGGTCCTTGTGATGCATCAGTCTTTCCTTGGTCTAGGAGCATTTCAGTGCAGGAACCTCAGGTGCAAAGGACGCGCGCTGTGCTCCCAGCACTGCTTTCTTGGTGGTATGAGGTTCCCACGTCTCTCTGCTTGCTTTAAGACATCTTCTAATCTCGTAGACCTCATCAATATAACTGTCACTAATCCATCTAATTACATCATAGTGATAGGATTTACAACGCATAGGGAAATCACATCAGATGATAAAATGGTAGACAATCATACAATACTGGGAATCATGACCTAGCCAAGTTGGCAGATATTTTTGGAGGGCACAACTCAATCCATGACACCATGTTAAATGCTCAAGTTTTATGTAGTTAAATATGTTTACCTTTTCTTATACTGCTTCTGGACTTCCTGTCTTGCTTAAGAGAATAAATATCATTTAGAATATTTAAATAAGAAAAGAGAGAGAGAGAGAGATGTGAGGTAGTAAGAAAGTATGAGAATACTTTTCTTCAAGGTGGTTTCAAAGAAGAAAAAAGATGTATGGAGCAGCGGTAGAATTATGGATCTGAGTGTTTAAGGGGGACTACCTTTTGAACAATACTCCTTTAGATAAATGTTAATTTATTACCTTATTATTATACTTAAGATATATGGTAACATATCCCCCCCCATGATTTTCTAAAAATATTTTTGAGTTTCAATGGCAGTATTATTTTTGAGAGGGCAAGGTTGCAGAATGGGAAAGTCTTTGATAACCTTCCGCTTTGCAAGTTTTCTGTACTGTCTCTTACTGAGGTACACTTTCAGTGAATTCTTTCCCAAGGTTACAGTAGCAGAAGAGAAAGTTTCCAAATATGACACTTGTATCAAGGTCACTGACGTAGCTAATTCTAATAAACCAACAAATACCGGTTGAGGGCCTACCAGTGGCTCAATGGTTAAGCCCTTGGCTGTTAATTGAAAGGTTCGCAGTTGGAACCCACTCAGCTGCTCCATGGAAGAAAGACCTGGCAATCTGCTTCCGTAAAGATTACAGCCAAGAAAACTTTATGGGGCAGTTCTACTCTGTCACATGGGATCTCTATGAGTTGGAATGGACTGAAGGATTGTGGGCTTAATGTAGTTTGAAAAATGGAGCGTAAAAGACACAAACAGCCTCCTTGCTGTTCCTCAAACATGCTGAGCATTCTCTTTGCTTGGTGAATTCTTTCCCCAGAAATTCACATGGCTCACTCCCTCATTTCCTGCAAGCTTTTGCTCAAATGCCACAAACTCAATGAGGGCTACCCTGACCACACTATTTAAAATAGCAACATATTTAAAATGTATTATTATTTAATTATGTCTGTCTCCCACTAGGATGTCAGCTCCATCATAGTAGGATTTTTTAAAAAAAAAAAATCTTTTTTCTTTACTGATTTTTCTCAAGCACCTGCCACTTAGAAGGAACTCAATGAATATTTATCCAATGAATGAATGCTTTTTGCCCTGCATCTTCTACTCCGTTTCTCTTAAGTTCAACCCTTCTATGCAACTCATCTTCTTACTATCCACACTGCTGTTCATGTGTATATATTACTTTTTCTTTTTTTGTGTGGGGGGGGTGTATTATAATTATGAGGAGCCCTGGTGGAACAATTGTTAAGCGTTCGGCTGTTAACTGCAAGGTTGGGATTTCAAGCCCACCAGCAGCTCGGAGAGAGAAAGACCTAGCGATCTACTCCCATGAAGATTACAGCCTAGGAAACCCTAGGGGGCCGTTCTACTCTGTCACATGGGGTCGCTATGACTCGGAATCGACTGGACAGCACACAACAACAACAACAACATTATAATTACAGAAATGGAATCATATAATACTCATCACTCACCCATCAGCTTTTCTCATTTAACAATACTAGGACAATAGTTACAGATCCAACATTCTTTCTAATGCTTGCATAATGTTCCACCGAGTGGGTGCACTATTTCTGTTCATATCTGTTACTACTTTTCCATTCCCTTAGCCTTGGACCACCCATCCCAACTCTTTCCCTCAGTTTTCCTTTAACCTGGCACCATTTATCCATTCACCTCCTATATAAGAATCCCCGGAACATAGTGATCACTCAGTAGGTATTTGTTGCCCCCTTGGCCTGTTTTTGCCAGCGACTAAGCTATACGCATTCTCTACGAGGTAGCGACTGAAGGGACAGGAGAGGGCACTAGTGAAGAAGTAAGGCGCTCCATCCAAACAGACGACGGGGAGGGAGGAGAGCTGGGGAGAGCCTTCTCTTGTGCCTTTGATCGCTCACTGAAGCAGAGTGGGTTTCGGAGGGGCGGACTGGGCTTGGGGAACCGAGTGGACTAGTGTAGGGAGCACCAGAGGGGCGGGTTGGCCTGGGGAAACTAGCGGTCCCGGGCGGGGGCGGGGCGACGGGGGGGGCAGCCTGGCGGGCAGGGGACGGACCTGGGCGGGGCCGGAGGGGCAAGCCTGGCCGGAGGGCGGGGCAGGCGAAGCGCGCAGTGACGCAGAGTGGGGCTCACTGTCGGGCGCGTGGGGCGGATTGCTGCGCTCGGGGAGGACATGGGGCGAACCATTGCAGAGCTGGTCTCGTCGCTTCTAGGGCTGTGGCTGCTGCTCTGTAGCTGGGGGTGCCCCGGGAGCGCCGAGCCGCGGGCCCCGCCGGATAAGATCGGTAGGCGAGCCGGGGATGGCGAGGGAAGGGGTGCTGGAGTGCGCCCCGCGCCGGGCGTCTGTTGTGTGGTGCACCCAGGCCCGGCAGCCGCGACGTGGAGCCAGGCCGCAGGCCGAGCTCTGCGCGCAGGTCGCGCTTTTCTCTATTCGCGCTTCAGGGCCGCTTGAGGTCTCCCAGGGACCGGACCGTGCATTTGCGGGCGTGGAGCTATGCCCACTTGAGGAATGGGCCGCGCAATAGGCGCTGGGGCAGGCGGACAGCCGGCCGGCAAGCGTCCCCTGCAGCCCTTGTCTCGGAGGCTTGACGCTCCGGAGACGCCGGGGCCCCTCTATCCGCCTTCCCTTATTCCATCTTTTAGGAGACTAGGCTTCTAGTTCTTCGTGGAACGACTCGCCTCATTTACTGCGCGGATGACAGGCGCATGCAGAGCGGGCACAGCACACTCAACAGTGCGAACAGGCTGACCCTGCCTGATTCCTTAGCTAGTCTGGCACTCCCTTCCCCCATTTCAGCTCTGCTGAGGTCGGCCTGCTTTCAGAGGCTTGCACAGTGCCTCTCTGCCCATGACTATTACCGCTGCCGAAAGGGTCTATTCTCTTTTTAGTTTCAATCTTCTGGGCTTTTTGCTCCCGGTTTTTTTCTCCCCCTTAAAGCTGTGTTCTTTGGAATCATTAACCTATTATCTACAATGTGAGAGAACAAATCTAGGCAAAAATGGAGGGCGCTTCATTTAAGATGAGTGCGGGATAGACCTAACATCTTCTATTCCCATGAGTTGGGCACAAAGAAGGTGTGCAGGCTTGTTGGTGCTCCGTCAACAGAGGACTTGGAATCTTTGGGCATCTGGCAAAGGAAACGTCTGATTAATGTCAGTTTTATACATTAATCTACCTCCACTTTAGTCTGGGGTCCGTCTGTCTCCATTCATAGCATGTTACGAGTGTTACCTGCCTTCCTCTTCCTCCAAGCCTTCCCTAAATTGTTGATAATATTCACAAGTAACCCCCTGCTCTAATCAAAGTCCTTTCAAAAACAAAGAAAACCAAACCTACATAGCTGGTAAGAGGGAAAAAAACTCCGTTACCATTTTTCTCCATAGCGATTATTGGAGCTGGAATTGGTGGCACTTCAGCAGCCTATTATCTACGGCAGAAATTTGGGAATGATGTGAAGATTGACATGTTTGAAAGAGGAGAGGTGGGCGGCCGTTTGGCCACCATGACTGTGGAGGGGCAAGAATACGAGGCAGGAGGTTCTGTCATCCACCCTTTAAATCTGCACATGAAGCGTTTTGTCAAGGACCTGGGTACGTAATTTTGGTCTTAGAAACTGAGCGGATCTCTGCGTGACCATCCATGGATACTTTTATCAGATGGGGAACTGAAACTTCTCAGCCTTGCTAACTGTCTTTTACAGAGAAGTGGTTACAACTGTTTTCCTCACCTTCCTGTTAGCAGCTGGTATTGCCTTAGTTAGGAGCCCCTCTCCTGTAAGGGGACACTAGTTATCTCTATCTTCAGTTATCTGGAATTACCGCCAGGGGCAGGAGTGGGGGTGGCTGCTGTTGTCAATTCTTGAACCTCTGGGTTCCTGTTGAAGAATTAAAGCATGTTTTGAGCTAGCAGGAACCTTAATTTGCTCATTTTATAGCTGTGGCAATGAGGCCCAGAGGCATGAAGTGTTTGACTTTAAAGTCATACAGCTATAGGGGTGGACATGTGCTTAGAACTTGGGGCATCCAACTGCTTCCGTACAAGGAGAGGAGCTGGACAGGTTGTGGGGGAAGTCTGGCAGGCCTCTGTAGGCCCTTTCCTCAGGGAATCTATCTTGTGTAATTTTAGCCTCCTTCCAATTATTTGAAATAACCAGTTACGTAAAATAGGATTCACCCAGGAATAGAAGTGTTTCCTTTTCCTCAGCTGCCTTCCAGATACCCTGTGGACACCTGCTGGGCCTCCATTTCCTCTTTAGCATTTTTGTCTTTTTAGATTGCCGTATTTGCATTATCCTCTGACCTATCTTCTGGAGAATACGCTTTCTGACAGCGCAGTGTACCACACTGTTCTAAGATAAACCCATTGCTGTCGAGTGGATACCAACTCACAGTGACCCTATAGGACAGGGTAGAACTGCCCCAGAGGGTTTCTAAGAAGCAGCTCGTGGATTCAAATTGCCAACCTTTTGGTTAGCAGCTGAGCTATTAACCACTGCGCTAGGGCTCCTTTAATATGTCTCCTGAGAGCTGAGGGAAGCCCAGAATTTACTGCTTCAGAGTGTCTGCTGATAACTTCAGATTACCTTTTTTCACTTGATCAGCATAGAAACCACTGACTTATCTCCCCTTTTTGTTTTTGCAGGTCTCTCTGCTGTAAAGGTCTCTGGTGGCCTAATGGGGGTGTATGACGGAGAGAAACTGGTGTTTGAGGAGAGCCCCTGGTTTATAGTTAACATGATTAAACTAGTTTGGTACTATGGATTTCAGTTCCTCCGAATGCACATGTGGGTAGAGGACATATTAGATAAGTTCATGAGGTAATTTTTTCCTTCTCTTTAATCCAAAACCTTTTAATTTGATAAGTATTAGGAATTATACTTTCTTGCAACAGTTTTCTGCCTAGCTTCAAGGCCAGTTTGTAAGATTGTTAGGCAAAATTTTTTTTGTAGAAAATACGCAGTCTATTTATTCACTTGGAGATTGAAAGGGTGGTTTATTTTTGCTTCTGAAAATGCATCTTATAAATACTTACTTGGTGTTGGCAGGCACTTTTAAATGCTTTACAAATATTAACTCCTTCCATTGTCATAACAACTCTCTTAGGTAGGTACTGCTATTAGCTGCTTTTTACAGATAAGGACGGTGGGTGAGGCACAGAGAGGTTTTAAGTGCAAATTTACCCAACTTGTAAACAGTGGAGCTGGAATTTGTACACATGCAGTCTGGTTCCCGTAGTCCTCACTCTTAATCTCTGCACTGTGCTGGTCGGTGTTTTGTAGATGAATGAGATAACGTGTACAGGAGGTTGTTGAAAGGATCAGAAAACTTAAATGACCATTGCTACTGACATGATGTTTCCATGAGCCAGCAGCTGAAGTGGAGACTGTTCGGCCTGTGCCCTGACAGTTTAAATTTAGATGTGAAATTGTAGCATTCTCCTGGGTAGTGAGAATACAGAGGCCACTTTTCTTTATGCTTTTCTGAATTTTCAGAAATTGCCATGTGTATGAAAGTGCACTGCTGTGGTAATCAGGAAGAATCAAATACAATAGCTCATCTAATTTTGAAAGGAGTGACCTTTTTTTTTTTTTAAGGCTGTTTGCATATGCCAGTTTTTATGCTGGTTTACAATTTTAAGTGCTGGAGGAATTCAGCATGTAATGCTAGTAATATTTCATTACAATTGTTGTTCCAACGTTATAAAATAATTGTTAAAAGGTAACATTACATATCATATGACCAGATATTGAACAGGACAAATATAAGAATTGAGCAGTATACATATACTCTAGTTTCTGTAACTTATAGGAGTTAGAGATTTCTTTCTTTCTAACCATCATTCTTAGGCCAGTTCCTGGAATGTCTTTCCTCAAGGTCCAGCTACAGTGGGTGCTGTTTTTAAGGAGTCATTCATTCATTCATTGATTTACCATATATTTATTAAACACTTGTTATGTGCCAGGCACTATTGTAGGTCCTGAGGATATGGGACCTAGAAAATGTCTCTGCCCTCAAAGAATATACATTCTAGTGGACAGGCGTGCAGTAAACAAACAACTAAGAAAATATATGGAATTTATACAGAGTTAGACAGTCTTTTTTTTTTTTTTAATGTGGTGAAAATACACATAACAAAACATGCCATTGCAACAATTTCTAATGTACAGTTCAGTGACATTGATTACATGCTTCTAAGTTGTACAGCCATTCTCACTGTCCTTTTCCAAGTCATTCTACCACCATTAACATAAGCTTGCTGCCCCCTGAACAAAAACTCCCCCTCTCCCCCTCCCACACCCAGTAAACCACTAATAATCTTTGGTTTATGTAAATTTGCTTTTTTATATAAGTGAGACCATATAGTATTTGCCCTTTTGTGACTGACTGACTTGATTCAGCATGATGTTTTCAAGGCGTATCCATGTTGTGGCATGTATCAGGACTTCATTTCTCTTTATGGCTAAATAGTATTCCATTGTGTGTGTATATACCACAGTTTGTTTAGTCATTCATCTGTTGATGGACGTATGGCTTGTTTCCACCTTTTGGTTATTGTGAAAAGTGCTGCAGTGAACACTGATGTACAGGTTTCTTTCTTTTTTTTTTAGAGAAGCCAACCAATTTTATTTTATTTGTTTATTTTAATTGTGCTTTAGGTGAAAGTTTACAGAGCACATTAGTTTCTCATTAAACAGTTAATACGCATATTATTTTGCGACATTGGTTGCCAACCCCGTGACGTGTCAACACTCTCCCCTTCTTCACGTTGGGTTCCCCATTTCAATTTGTCCAGCTTTCCTGTCCCTCCCTGCCTTCTCATCCTTGCCCCTGGGCTGCTGTGCCCATTTAGTCTCTATGTGGTTGAACTACGGGTGTTATTGTTTGTTTTATAGGCCTGTCTAATCTTTGGTTGAAGAGTGAACCTCAGGAGTGACTTCAGTACTGAGTTAAAAGGGTGTCCAGGGGCCATCCACTCAGAGTTTCTCCAACCTCTGTCAGACAGTACGTCTGTCTTTTTTTTGTGAGTTTGAATTTTGTTCTACGTTTCTCTCCAGCTCTGTCCGGGACCCTCTATTGTGATCTCTGTCAGAGCAGTCGGTGGTGGTAGCCGGGTACCATCTAGTTGTGCTAGACCCAGTCTGCTGGAGGCTGTGGTAGTTGTGGTCCATTAGTCCTTTGGACTGATCTTTCCCTTGCTTCAGATAGGGTGGGACCAGTAGTTGTATCTTAGATGGCCACTTGTAAGCTTTTAAGACCCCAGACGCTACTCACCAAAGTAGGATGTAGAACATTTTCTTTATAAACTATGTTGTGCCAGTTGAGTTAGATGTCGCCTGAAACCATGGTCCCCAGCCCTCAGCCCAGTAACTCGGTCCCTCAGGGAGTTTGAATGTGTCTATGAAGCTTCTATGACTTTGCCTTGGTCAGGTTGTACTGACTTCCCCAGTATTGTGTACTGTCTTACCCTTCACCAAAGTTATCACTTATCTATTGTCTAGTTAGTGTTTTTCCTCCCCCTCCCTCATAACCATCAAAGAGTGTTTCTTTCTATGTGTAAACCTTTTCATGAGTTTTTATAATAGTGGTTTCATACGGTCTTGTCTTTTTGTGATTGACTTATTTCACTCAGCATAATACCCTCCAGATTCATCCATGTTGTGAGATGTTTCACAGATTCATCATTGTTCTTTATCGTTGTGTAGAATTCCATTGTATATGTACCATAGTTGGTTTATCCATTCATCTGTCAATGGCACTTAGGTTGTTTCTATCTTTTTGCTACTGTGAATAATGCTACAGTGAACATGGGTATGCATATGTCTATTCGTGTGACGACTCTTATTTCTCTAGGATATATTCCTAGGAGTGGGATTGCTGGATCATGTGATATTTCTGTTTCTGGCTTTTTAAGGAAGCGCCATATCATTTTCCAAAATGGTTGTACCATTTTGCATTCCCACCAGCAGTGCATAGGAGTTCCAATTTCCCCACAGCCTCTCCAACATGTGTTATTTTCTGTTTTTTTGATTTGTGCCAGTAATGTTCGGGTGAGATGGTATCTCATTGTAGTTTTGATTTGCATTACTCTAATGACTAGTGATTGTGAGCATTTCCTCATGTATCTGTTAGCTGTATGAATGTCTTCTTTGGTGAAGTGTCTGTTCCTTTGCCCATTTTTTAATTGGATTATTTGTCTTTTTCTTGTGGAGGTGCTGGATTTTCCTATAGATTTTAGAGATTAGACCTTTGTCGAATATGTCATAGCCAAAAATTTTTTACTTGTCTGTAAGTTCTCTTTTTACTCTTTTGGTGAAGTCTTTTGATGAGTATAAGAGTTTAATTTTTAGAAGATCCCAGTTATCTAGCTTATTTTCTAGTGTTTGTATATTGTTAGTTATGGTTTGTATCCTATTTGTGCCATGTATTAGGGCCCCTAGCATTGACCCTATTTTTTCTTCCATGATCTTTACCATTTTTGGTTTTATATTTAGGCCTTTGATCCATTTTGAATTAGTTTTTGTGTGTCATGTGAGGTATGGGTCCTGTTTCATTTTTTTTTTTTTCACAGATGGACATCCAGTTTTGCCAGCACGATTTGTTAAAATAGACTGTCTTTCCCCATTTAATGGACTTTGGACCTTTGTCAAAGATCAGGTGACCGTAGGTGGATGGATTTATATCTGGGTTCTCAATTCTGTTCCATTGGTCAATGTGTCTGTTGTTGTACCAGTACCAGGCTGTTTTGACTACTGTAGCTGTATAATAGGTTCTGAGGTTGGTGTACATGTTTCTGTTTTCATTCCTGCCTTCACTTCTTTTGGATATATATCTAGAATTGGGAGTGTTGGGTCATACATAGTTCAATGTTCAGTTTTTTTTTAGGAACCACCAAACTGTTTTCCACAGTGGTTGTACCATTTTACATTCCCACCAGCAATGGAGGAGGGTTCAAGTTTCCCCATAACCTGGACAATACCTGTTTTCCTTTTTTTTTAAAAAAAAAAAAAAATCACTCATCCTAATAGGAGTGAGGTGGTATCTCATGGTAGTGTTGATTTCATCTCTCTAATGGCTACTGATGTTGAGCATCTTTTCATGTGATTGTTGGCCATTTGAATATCTTCTTTGGTGAAATGTCCAAGTCCTTTGCCCAGTTTTTCACTGGGTTGTTTGTCTTTTTGTTGTTAAGTTATAAGAGTTTTTCAAAATATATTTTGGATATTAGACCCTTATTGGATATATGGTTCCTGAAAATTTTCTCCTGGCCTGTAGATTGTCTTTTCACTTTTTTGCCAGTGATTTTTTAAAGTAGGTGGGTGGCATGTTACCGCAGGCTCAGGCAAATCAAGTTCAGATGGCTTCCAATGCTGCCCCGCCTGCGTGTATAAGATTTCTTAACTGTGACTTATTTGACTTTCAGAGAATTGCCTTTTAAGGTACTGTTTAAGAAAGCACTTTTGAAGGAATTCAGAACATTATAGAACTGTGAACAGGACACACTGGTAAATGGCATTGGTTGGTTGTTTCTGGAAACTTTTTTTTTCATTTAAAAAATATATGTTGCACAACATTTGCCAATTTAATGTTTTTCATGTGTACAGTTTAGTGACATCAATCATGTTAACCATGCTGTGCAACCGTCACCTATATCTGTTGCTATAAACAGAAACTCACTGCCTCCTAAACAGTGCCTTCCCCTCCCCCTTCTCCCCATCCCCTTATAATAATAAACTAATAAACTTTAGTCTCTATACATTTGCCTATTCTAGCTATTTCTAATAAGTAAGATCATACAACATTTCTCCTTTTGTGATTG